CCGCATTCAAAATCGAAAACAAAGTCTAAAATGCCACTATTTGCCAAGAAAGTTCCCAAGCCCACAATACCAGCCGATTCGGTATTTCACGACAACAACAATGGTCTAATGTCAAATGGTAAAGTACCCCCCAGCCAGCAGCAACAACAACAGAATGGCAATTACACTCAAAGGACACCATCGATAAGTGAATCAAATGTTCAAAAACCCCAATTAGTATTCCATTGCCAGCTGGCCCATGGCAGTCCCACTGGCCTAATTACCGGCTTTGCCAGTGTACGAGAATTGTATAAGAAAATTGCCGAATGTTATGATATACCAGCTGAGGAGATCTTGTTCTGCACCCTCAACTCCCACAAGGTGGATATGACCAAACTGCTGGGTGGTCAAATTGGTTTGGATGATTTCATTGGTGCCGGTTTTGCATTTATCAAACGGATCAAAGAGGGATCCATTATTGATCGCATCGAACACATTTTAGTGGGAGATCACATCGAGAAATTGAACGGGGAGAGTATGGTGGGCAAGAGGCATTACGAAGTGGCCCGTCTGCTGAAAGAAATCCCTACCGGCTCCTCGTTCACCTTGCGTTTGGTCGAGCCAATGCGTAGTGGTTTCCAAGGTATTGGCCCTCGATCACAATCCCGCATGCCTTCCGGTCGTGGTGGCTATGGCAGCGGTAAGGAAACGTTACGTTTCAAGGCCAACGGCAATGTGGAGATTGAAGAGAAATTCGATGATTCAACCCAAGCGGGTATTGAGGCCATAAATAATCTGCTCGAATCCTTTATGGGTATTAATGATGCGGAGTTGGCAACGCAGATTTGGGATTTGGGTGCCGACAAAACTAATTCCATGGATTTTGCTGAGGCCATTGATAATTCGGATTTGGAATCGTTCGGATTTACCGATGATTTTATTATTGAACTGTGGGGTGCTATAACGGATGCCAGACGCAAGAAAAGTAATAAATAGAGAGGGGGAATGTTTTTTGTGGAATGCAGGGGGACGACGAGGAGGAGGAGGAGGTGAAATTATGAAAAATAAATACTATTAAAATTTGTTGTTAATTTTTATTGATTAAAAAAAAAACTTAGTAAATAAAATATAATAATTGCTCATAATCTATAAGAAAATTAAAACAATTTTAAAGAGGGGGGTATTGAAAAAAAAAATTGGATTGGAAAAAAATCTATGAAATCGGACCAAGGATCTTTCAGTTCCTGAGGATTTATAGAAAAAAAATCAGACCTCTGTGTCTGTAGAATTTTTTTCTATAAAAAATCGATCCTCAATGTCTGAGGAATTTTTTTCTATCGAAAAAAATCAGACCTCAGTGTTTGAGGATTTTTTTCTGTATAGGAAAATCAGACCTCAGTGCCTGAGAAATTTTTTTCTATAGAAAAAAATTCCTCACACCCAGAAGTCTGATTATTTCTATAGAAAAAAAATTCCCAAGACATTGACTATCGATTTTTTATATAGAAAAAAATTCCTCAGACACTGAGGTCTGATTTTTTTCTATAGAAAAAAATGCCTCAGACACTGAGGTCTGATTTTTTTCTATAGAAAAAAATGCCTCAGACACTGAGGTCTGATTTTTTTCTATAGAAAAAAATGCCTCAGACACTGAGGTCTGATTTTTTTCTATAGAAAAAAATTACTCAAACACTGAGGTCTGATTTTTTTCTATAGAAAAAAATTACTCAAACACTGAGGTCTGATTTTTTTCTATAGAAAAAAATTCCTCAGACACTGTGGTCTGATTTTTTTCTATAGAAAAAAATTCCTCAGACACTGAGGTCTGATTTTTTTCTATAGAAAAAATTCCTCAGACACTGAGGTCTGATTTTTTTCTATAGAAAAAAATTCCTCAGACACTGAGGTCTGATTTTTATCTATAGAAAAAATTCCTCAGACACTGAGGTCTGATTTTTATCTATAGAAAAAAATTCCTCAGACACTGAGGTCTGATTTTTATCTATAGAAAAAAATTCCTCAGACACTGAGGTCTGATTTTTTTCTATAGAAAAAAAATTCTTCAGAATGAAAAATGTTTTCTTTGGAAAAAATAACTGTCTGAGGATTTTTTTCTATAGGAAAAAGGGTGTAAGTTCTTTTTATTTCCTTTAGAAAAAATTTCATCAAGAACTGAGGATTGATTTTTTCGATAAAGGCCCCCTTCTGTACTATTTTTTCTAAATATTTAAATTAATTTTATTTCTCTTTTTTCTTATCATCATCTTCGTAATAATATATATTCAATTGCCAATATTTATATATTTAAATTATATAAATACAACAACAAGAAGACATACATATATAAATTTAATTGTATACATTTTGTGTTAATTTATAATATGTATATGCTTAATTAATTATATATTAATTATAGTTTCTATTTTTATGATTAAGAAATTCGTCAATATTTTGAAATTATTTTTTTGTGCTGCTTTAAATTTAATAATTTTGGTTTTCAAAAATCAATTTAGTATTTTATCATTTTAAATTTGTAAAATTATTGTTTAGATTTATTTTTGACTTTTGGTTCCATTTTATTATTTTTTTCGCTCAAAAATATATATGTTAATTATAAAAAATAATAATTTAAAACAAAGTTTTTTGGTTTTTATTTTTGTATTTTTTTGCTGTTAATGGTAAGTTTATTATTTTTAATTGTTTTTTTAATCTAAACTAATTCCAACTTTTTCCGCATTTCTAGAGCCCACAACAGACCTCATTTGGCTTATGTGTATGTTCATCTCATGTTGGACATGAGATCCACGCCTAACCTAGGCGTGGATTTTTTAAAATAATTTTTTTTTTTTTTTTTTTGGGGAATGCTAAAGGCGTGGATTTTAAAATTATTTTTTTAATTGAATTGACCTCACGTGCATTTTTTAAAAATTATTTTTTTAAGCATTGACATATGCGTGGATTTATTTTAAAATCCATCAAATATTTTTTTTTTTTTTTTTTTTTTTTTTTTTTTTTTTGTTGTTTTGAGAATATGCATAGAATCACTTTCTAAGTCGATTTATGCATGTCCGTCCGTCCGTCTGTCTGTCTGTCCATGTTAAATTGTAAACAAAGTACAGGTCGCATTTATGATCCGAATTGGTGAAAATTGGCATAGGTCACTTATTTGGCCCAAGGACGAACCCTATTGAAATTTGAAAAAATCGGTTCAGATTTAGATACAGTGGTTGTCAGCAAATCTCAACGTAATATAGCAGAAATTGTTAATACTGTTAATAGAATTGTTAATAACGCTTTTTACGGGTGAATTGAGTGAAAGACAAGGGCAGAGTTGCACCAAATAAAATTCTTACCCCAAGTGACGAACGATGGATCATCAGAAAAATTAATGAAAATCCCAGGTTATCGGCACAAAAATTGGCTGATGAAGTGCAAAACAGTATTGGTAAAAATTGTAGTGCTGCAACGATCCGCCGTGTGCTACGTTCACATGATTTTCATGGTCGAGTACGTTTAAAAAGCCTTTTATGAACCAAAACCAGTGAGCGGAGCAAAATAGTCGGACGGGACCGACCATATGATACCCTACACAACATCCACGAAAATCTAACTTTCTGTGATCTACATTCTGAGATTGGGCAATATTTCGCGATATTTGCACCCTCTTGATCGACTAGAGGCCAACAAATATTATTCAGTACATCTCTTCTAAATATTTGCCACGATTCCTTTCACCAGGTGTTGTGTTGTGATGTTCTGCTTTCAATTGTGGCCTATAGATCAACTCGAAAAAAAAAAACACAAAAAAATTAAGTTTTCGGTCCACTCCATCCCAATATTATTAATTGGTCATCAGCGAAAATTATAGGCGTTGTCCTTGACCATACCTAGATCCTCATGGAAAATTTCAAAACGATCAGCGTTATATTCCCGCCCCTATCAACTATTGACCTATCTTTATCAAAACAAGCATGGTTATTCTCTAGCCAGATCCCCTTCTCCATGCTAAAATTCGCGGTGTTTGGGCCATAATTGTGGCCTCTGGAGCGACCAGAAAATCAGACAAAAATAATGTTTATGGTCCATTTCACCGCCTTAATATTAACTGATCTTTCCAAAAAAAAAATAGGGGTCTTCATTGGTCAGAACGCATTCTACATGCAAAATTTCGTGAAGATTGGTCTATAACTGTGGCCTGTATCGTTTTTAAAAATCATGCGTTTGGCGGAAGCCCAATAAAGAACTTCAATTAAAGAATATGCGTGCGACGGTAAAACACGGTGGCGGTAGTGTTATGGTGTGGGCATGTATGTCTGCAACGGGCGTTGGAAATCTGGGAAATATGAAAATTTATGTATCTGAATATTCTTAAAGATAACCTATTACAAAGTGCAGAAAAACTCGGTCTAAGAAGAAAATTCCGTTTTTACCAGGATAACGATCCGAAGCATAAGCCTGGAATTGTGCAGACTTGGCTGATTTGGTATTGTCCTCATTTGATGGGACCACCGGCACAGTCTCCAGACTTAAATGTGATAGAAAATTTATGAGCATTACCAGAAAAAAAATAAGAAATCACAACATCTCAAGCAAAGAAGCCTTAAAAATGCGCTACAACAGGAGTGGAATAATATAACGCCAGAAACCACACAAAAACTTGTTGCATCCTTGCAGAAAAGACTAAAAGCTGTTATTGATCAAAAGGGTTACCACACAAAATATTAAAAATGTATTACAAATTAAATATTATGTTACTTTTTTTGTTTCAATTATTCTGCATCAAATAAGCTGTTCCAATTGAAAAGCCAGTGAGCGGAGCAGTATAGTCGGACGGGGCCGACCATATTATACCCTACACAACTACCACGGAACTCTAATTTTCTTTATTCCAAGAATGGGCCATATTTCGCGATATTTGCACCCTCTTAACCGATTAGAGGTCAATAGCTGTTATTTCTTGCCATGACATCTATTTCGAATTATGTTTTATTTCATAATATCCATTTTTTTTTTCATTTTACACAGAAAGGTCTTGGTTGACTTGACCCGCTGAATAGTGACAGATCATTACAAAATCCAGTGTAATATTCAGATTATAATTGTGGCATATAGATCGACTTGAAAAAACACAATAAAAATAAGTCTCGGTCCACTTCATCCCAAAATTATATCTAATCATCACCGCAAATTATAGGCGTTGTCCTTGACCATAACCGGAACCTCATGGAAATTTTAAAAGCGATCAGCGCTATATTTCTGCCCTACAGTGTGGTAAATATTTAAGTGTAACTCTCATATCCGAACACATGCGACAATATAGTTGGTATCAATTTAAAGGCCAACAACTCCTCTTGGATATACTATCAATTTCTCGGGTCTATGTCCTTCAGGAGTAAATATATATGCCATAGAATACATATTTTGTCATTTTTCACACAAAAGTCAGGGTCCATTTGACCCGCTAAATAATGATCGATCAGGCATGCTTATTCTTTGTCCCGACCCCCTTCTCCATGCAAAAATACGCGATGTTTAGACCATAATTGCGGCCTCTGGAGAAAGTCAGACAAAAATAAAGTTTTTGGTCCATTTCATCACCTAAATATTAACTGATCTTTTCTAAAAACAATAGGGGTCTTCATTGGGCAGAACCCATCCTACATGCAAAAGATTGGTCCATAACTGAGGCCTGTATCGTGTTTACAAATTATAATGGACAGACGGACGGACGGACGGACGGACACACATGTCTAGATCAACTCAGCTAGTCGAGATATGACAATCGTTATACTTAAAGGTGTGTCTAGGACCAATATTTCGCGGCGTTACAAACTTTTGGGGCTGCACAAAGCTACAAAATATTTTTTATTTGGCTATATAAAAAATATTTTTAAAAATCCACGCTATATTTGGTTTTTAAAAAAATATTAAAAAATAAAGACGTAATTTCATGTTCAAAAATATATTTTTAAAAAATGCACTCCATTATTGGATGT